AAAAGAAAAAAAAAAAAAAAAAAAAAAAAAAAAAAAAAAAAAAAAAAAAAAAATAAAAAAAAAAAAAAAAAAAAAAAAAAAAAAAAAAAAAAAAAAAAAAAACTACAAGGATATCGCCCACTTCTTATTCAACGTCCGAGTGGAAAAGGTGGTTTTTTCTGTGCTGGTGAGTTGGAGAAAAAATACTAAAAATAATTTACTGTGCTAAAGTGATCTTTGGTGTTGAGCTATCTACATAGATAATTTGTGAGTATCATATTTTTCCTTTTTTAAATTGTGTGTGGAGTTGTGTGTTTTTTTTATTAAAAAAAATACCTGAGAATAGTTGTGTGGCGTGGCGTGGCAGCGTCATCTGCTACCATGGCGGGGTCTGACCGGGAGGGATCCTCCAGGTCAAGGTCAAGAGTCAGGAAAAAAAAAAAGAAGAGACAATGAGGAAGACGTGCGGATTCCTGGGCAAATGGAAGTGCAAATGAGTCAGATTAAACCAAACTCTAATCCTTTCAATAACAGTGGCCATGTAGCAGGTGACGCTGAAATGCAGAGCTGGGCTTACATGGAACAAATTGACGACCATGTGCTTAGTAAGAATAGTGGTATGAGTGGTATGGCGGCAACCGGCAGTTCTACCAACAATTCTAACCATGAGGTTAGGAATGAAAATCACGCTCATGTATATAACATACATGAAAGCTATGACTTACATGACGTACAGGATAAAACGGTATTAGGCAGACAAACAGAAGTAGGAGAGGGAAATCAAAAAATGGCAAAAGCAAATGGCGGGAAGCAAAACCTGTCTGTAGGAAATGACATTAGTAAGGGGCATGATGAAATGCGCCAAAATAATAAAAATGAAACTATTTTTTATCCACACGACCATAAGGGGGAAATATACGTCTTAATCGATACATCTAAATCGGAGTTAGTTAGGAACACGAGAATAAGGAATGGGTTATATCTGTGGAGCAAGGTTAAAGATTTGGGTTTAGAAGACATTGACACAATCAAAGCAATTGGGGTCACGCTCTACAAGCTAGGTATAACAAGCATTAAATCGGCAAATGAGATTTTGGCAAATGAAAAGTTAAAAGAAATGCAAATGAGGGCCTTTATCCCCAGAGCATTTATTGAAACCTATGGGGTGATTAGGGACATACCCCTGGAGATCACAGAAGAGGAAATAAAAAATGAGGCAATCTCTGATGTGAAAATTACTTCAGTACAAAGATTTATGAGACGTGAGAGTCGTGAAAGTGAAAACAGAATTCCGACCTATACTGTTAAAATTGGCTTTGCCTCAAACAACCTACCCAAAGAAATCAAGCTTAACCATACTATTATCGAAGTTGAGTACTTCTACCCCTACATAAGGCAGTGTTTTAACTGTGGCAGGTTAGGGCACACAGGAAAAGCCTGTAGGGCAAACAAACGATGTTTAAAGTGTGGAAACCAAGGGGGCTGTGAACAAGGGTGCAGTAATGCCAAATGTATTCTGTGTGGGGAGACCAATCACTTGGCTAATGAAAAAAATAAATGCTCCAAGTGGGAGAAGGAAGAGGGAATCAGTAAGATTATGACAATTAAAAAGCTAACTAGGAGGGAGGTAATAAAGACTTATACACCTTTTGCATCGAATAGATTTAGGCTGCTAGACGATGAAGATTTCCCCGCTTTGGGTCAATCTTCAGATGCTTTAAAAGATAGGGACGCGGAAGTTAACGGAATTTTAACGCCAAGAAACTACGCAGCTATACTTAGGCGTAAGCAATACAGGACTAGCCAGTCATCCAAAAATAAAGTCACTAAGGCAAATGAAGAAAAAAGTGCGGAGGCTAAAGCCAAGCGGAAAAATGCGTCAATTGAAGCCTATGGGGTAGCATTAAGAAAAGAAAACATACACATCGTATCCGAAATGGAGAAATTAGTTGCAGAGATGATAAAATTTGCAAGTGACGCCTTTAGAAGGATCGACTTTCAGGCAGGTGTAACTGCATTTGATCATTTTGATCAGAGACTAAAGAAATTCTGCTTAGATCTAGACCACAAATTTATTACAAGTAACCCACTTTCTACCCTTGAACAATATGAAGATACTACAACATAACTGTCAGTCTCTTAGGAAAAACATTAACCATATTGAATATTATGTAAACAACTATAACGTGGACATTTTCTGCCTGAGTGAAACTTTTACTCAGAACGAAAATGATCTCAAGAAAAACATTGTAAACTTTAATATGGTCAAGAAAAACAGAAATGATGGATATGGTGGGGTAGCCATCGGCTTAAGAAAATCCATCAAATTTCGTAAGATTATTTTTGATTCAAGCCACGACATATGCATTGTGCAAACATGCAACCTTCCACGGAACTTAGTGATATGTGCGGTCTACTTTGAGCCCTCCTTAAGCGTGGGAGAGTTCAAAGAAACAATCAATAAACTTTTTGGTACATTGGAAGTGTACAGAAATGTATTGGTATGTGGGGACTTCAATGCGAGAGCACATGAATGGGGCGATTTCTTTGAGTCTAGCAGAGGTAACTGGCTTAAAAACTTTATAAATAACTCCAGCTTTTACTGTCTTAACAATCGATCAATAACCTTTAAAGCGGATCTGCAAGCTACTAGGGGATCAGTCTTGGATCTGACCTTCACGAACATCACATCATCTGCAAACTGGGAGGTGGTCCCCTGTCAACTGGGTGGCAGCCATCATTACCCAATTGTAATAAGCTTCGACCAGATTGAAACAAAAAAATCCACGTTCCTTGCCAAAAGAAAATTGCTTAGCGATCTAGGCACTGTCCAGCTTGACACAGACATCAAACAAATTGAAAACACTCTAACTAATGGAATTAAAGCGTCCACCTTTGAGATCAAAGATTCTCGACGCCCTAAGTTCTGGTGGCACAAAGGGTTGGAAAAGCTCTTTAGGCTGCAATTGGCCGCGACAAAAAAGTGCAACAAATACCCGACTGCTCAAAACTTAAGAGCTGCGACTGAAGCCAAGGAAAATTGGAAAAATGCGGTAGAAGAAGCCAAAAAAGAAAGTTACAACAAGAACCTAAACCTCCTCAATAGTCACCCAAATACTAGAGAAGCATGGAAATTTGTCAAAAATATGAAAGGTGCCGGATCCACTGAGTCTAAGCAACCGTGGGACGATACCAATGACGCTTTGTACCTTCAACATCTAAAAAATCAGGTGAGTGATGAAGACGATACAAAAGAAAAAGTAGAGCGGAAAGTTGCTTGCGCAGACAAAGTTCCTATGTTTTTGGACAACGAGCTCAAAGGTGTACTTAAAAATAAGACTAAAAGGTCCGCGGGTGGGTGTGATCAGATCACATATGAAATGCTTCGATCCTTGCCGGAAACAGCGACAAAAAAATTTACTAACTGCACTAAATGATGCCTTCGCCAAGTGTGAAATTAATGACTCTTGGCGTAAGGTAAGAATCGTCCCAATCCCTAAGGCAAACAAAGACCTAAGTGACTATAAGAATTTCCGTCCAATTTCACTTATATCGGTGCTAGTTAAGTCTATAAACCTCATGATTAAAGGCAGACTGGAAGGCTTTTTAAACGACAAAAATATTTATCCAGAGAGATCGTATGCGTATAGGAAAGGAAAGTCTGCGGCAATGTGTATCAATGATTTTCTACATAAAGTTGCCAGCTTAAAACATGCAGGCAAAAAGGCAGTAGTTCTGACGCTTGACATAAGCAATGCCTACAACTGTGTTACCCTAGGTAAGCTGCAGAGCCTGCTAGGGAACTTTGAAATACCAGATACGTATATAAAATGGATTATTGATTTCTTTGGCAAAAGAATTCTGCACCTGGGCAAGGAGTCCATAATAATAGAAGATGGCCTGCCACAGGGCAGCTGTCTATCGCCGCTACTCTTTAATTTATATACAAAAGAACTACACAGTATTGGGGACTCAGGGACAGACATCTATCAGTTTGCAGATGACTTTCTGATCCTATCGCACGG